CATACTATTGCCTCACTGATTCCGAAGGAAACTTTTGTTCTTTGTTATTTTAGTTTCTTTGCTACTGAGAGCCCCATCTAAGATCCATGCTGTGTCATGCAATGCATTGTACAAACACATAGTAAGAAACAAGCCTTACCAAAATAGACAAGATGGACAAAAGAGTGATAGAATCGCAGCATTATCCCCATTGAAAGATGAGGGAATAAAGCCCAGAGACCCATGTCCTCAAAGGTATTTAGGCACCTAACTCATTCAAATCAATGGGAGTTAGGTGACCAAATATATCTGAAAATCCGAGTCACAGAGATTAATTAGTTAACTTGCCCAAGCCAAATAGAACGTCTTATACTTTATTCAGATTAATAGTGGGCCAGCTAAGTGAATAAGGAATGGAGCACCAGGGCCCGAGGACCCTACTTAGATTTGTTTGTTTTGTTTTCTTTGTTTGCTTTTCCTTATATCCTTATTTCCTTGTATATAAATGATGCTATGATCCTCCTGAGGATTGAGGCAAACATCACTGAAAGAGAACCCATTCCTTTTAATACAATATTTTCATGAGAAAATGTTAGTAATATTTCTCTTATGTTAAACACTGGCAATACAATTATGCCGCAAAGGAGTAAGGGAAATTATGTGAATGACCTGTAACCTAATAAAACATAGTACAGTGATAGTTCAAACTACTGGTGACGTGTAGCTCTCCATTTATTAAATGTAGGTTATATGGCACAACTGTTCACCTTAAAGCAAATGATCTTATATGTTTTATAATTTCCTGATTATGGTATCTAAGAAACAGGTTGTACAATTAGTAAAGCTGTTGATATGTCTTACATAGAACCTGTAGCTAACATTCAAAAGCTAATTCTCGAATGTGTTTGTAGAACAAGAAGCTTCCCTGTACAGCAGTACATTAAAGACTTTAGCCCTTCTGTTGCCCCCGACCCTGCTTTTTAATCATTTTAAACAGGAAAAGGAAAAAAAAGCAGCCATGAATAAATGGGATAAATGCATACTAAAACTCAGATCCTGTGAGTTGTTGCATGGAATCAGCCCTGTGGAACCCACATGATCTGGTCAAAACAGCAGAGCTAGGTCATAAGCCACCTTGCATTGACTTAGCTGCACCTGTGCCTACACTTAAACTTATGTAACCTGCCTGCTAGATGGATCCAGCAGCCATCAGGGCCAGGTTCAACATCTAGAGGTTCCTTTCCATCCAACCAATACAGAACTGGCTCAAGCCCCTACTCAGTAAGCTAGGAAATTTGCACACCACCCCTCTGGGAAGGGATGCTTCCCCACTTGCAAGCACAGCGTCTGAGTACATAAAAGAAACTTTTAATAAAAGGAAGGGAAGTAACTTGGCATTAATTTGTGGAAACACCACAAACAGGAGTCATAAACATAAATCATGAGCAAAAATCCCACCCCAAATAGGCTGGACAATGGCCTTTTCCCTTCTGGTTTTTAAGTCGAGCAATCTAAAAGCCCCCTTCAAATGCCCAACTCTTCTCTGCACCCCACTCACAATTACTACCATTGGTCAGGGCAGACCTGGAGTTCAGAGGTGCATCTGCAGAGTTCATCTTCCACCCTGAGAGGGGGAGGTAAAGAGACATCTGACTCATTCTGCTGCTCACTCGCCATCTGCCTGCTTCCTGCTCTCTGCTGCCATCCTGCTGACCATTTGTCTCACTTCTCTGCCACTATGCTGCTGGCCACTTGTTACATCTCTCATTTTGCACTGCTTTACATGACAACCCAAGGTGCAAGGAGTTAAATAAAGTGGTCAGAAGCAAAAATATTTTAGAAGTTCCCTAATCTCTCCATTCAAACACTAGGGATTATGATATCAAAACTGATTCCATCATTTCTTTGCCCCACCTTCTAATATATAATGGATCCTCATTTGCATTTGGGAGAGGGCGATGAAAAGCTACTAAATGACCTGCTTGCTTTTATAATAGTCACTTCTGTAATGCACTTGCGGATCCATTGCTTTTTCTGTACAAATGGATGTTAATTGCATCCATTCCTAGCAAATGCCAGTCTGGCTAAATTGTAATTGCAGAAAGATTACATGAGCAGAAATAACAGCTAGCTTTGCTGCTAAAGTGCTCTTTCTAGTCATTCCACTGTTAAAGCTGCAAATCATTCTTTAAAAGCACAGGAAAGTTAACGTATATTAGGAGTGTCTTGAGTAATGCTAGAAGGTTTCCACTGTGTTCATGTAATTTAGTATTAATGCTTATTTTATCCATCATGAAATATGCTTCTGTGGTTATGCTTATATAAAATTTTAGTAGAAATGGATATTATTGCAAAACTCTAAGGACTTTCTTCCTGACTTAGACAAGAAACATGGCCTTTGCTCCCTAGGGCTTATTTTCAGTTGCATCTTTTGAGTAAAAAGAAATGACATATGGGTAATGGTCAGCTAGAATAGCTTAAACAAGTTTTCTCTAGTCCTAAAGATTTTTTTTTTCTCTGAAAGGTGTGCATATGTTAGATGGCCCCATGCCAGCACATCCTCATGCTCCATCATTAAGAAGTTTCACGAGAAAAACAAACAGTTTTTTCGGAGATGAGCTAAGCTGGAGGATATTAAGCCAGCTACTGATTTCACACGAGGTGTTGCCAGATGAGCTGTTAAATACATAATGAATCCAAACTCCACTCATGAATGTTGAACTAGGCAATTAAACATTGGATTTTTCAATGGAAAAACGGAACACGGATTATCTAAGGCACGATGCCATGTAATGCAGCAAAAGGCCAGCAGCAGCTGAGGCTGTTTCCTG